AATTTATTCCTAATACAGTAAAAATTAATAAATTATTTACATTTCTTATTTTTCTTTTCCTTTTCTAACGCTCTTTTTTTTTTTATCTGTAATGATTTCGATATTTTTTTTTTTATTTTTTAAACCGTGAGTATTCCATCTTATCATTGTCTTCAATATCTGATATATTGGCTTTTTTGTTATCTTGAGCATCCAAATCAATATAGTCTGGTTGATAACTTGACTTTTTGTTCTCATGAGAAGAATCAACTACAACAACAGCTTCAACAGAGGTCTCTGACGACTTAGAAGTACTAATATCATTAGATTTGATTGAAGTGGAGGGTTTGGTATGTTTAAACGGTGTTTGAGTAGTGGTAGATTCAATATCATTTGCAATAACATCAATAATCGAATGAGGCCTAGAAGCTATCAAAGTAGAATTTTTAGAAGCATTATAATTTAAGTTTGAGGTTTTCAAATAGTTGATATCGGTTGTTTTGATGATTATTTGGCCAGACTTTAAAAACTTAAAAAGCCCAGATACAAAATAAATATTTCCTAATTTGATATTAAAGCCTGCTATACCTAGATATTTTTGAAACCTAATAGCCTAAGAAGAGTAAAGAACCGTCATCTGCATTTTAACAGCAGGAGTGCCAGTGACAGAGTTGTACTTGACACTTTCCACACCAAAATGAATATAATCCTCAATTTCTTTAGGTTTACGATTAGCAATCACTGAAAACATACAGTGAGGTATGCATAGAGGAACATCACTCATATCAAATTCACAGTTAGGATTTCCAGTATTGATAATACTGGCATATATGATAGTAATATACTGTTCAGAATTCTCAACTATATATTTGCCTGAAATAAATATGAGGTTACCAGAAGTGAACATTTGAGGTTGTTCATTGGTTAGAAAGAAGTATTTCCATCTAATCGTTTGAGAGATTTCATTCGAAAATTTATATTTAGCGAGACTATATGAACAAAGACAGCTATTTTTAACCAAGGTAATAGCAATGAGAAGTGCAACATGTGAAGATATTAGTATTATTTATTTCCTGGGAGCTTAAAAATTACAACAGAGATTCCCGATGATCATAGGATACAGATGGCCCAAAGGGCCGTCTGCATTATATGATCATTGGGAATTCTCTCTTGTAATTTTAAACTCCTTACAGGAAATAAATGAATAATACTCTGCCTTACGTTGTTCATGCCTACCTTTATTATAATTTTTCACGTGATTATTTGTGACCGGAAATCTTCCTATGGAAGATTCCCGATCATGATATGATTGCACAGGAAATTATAATGAAGGTAGGCATGAACAACAAATAGTAAGGCAGGGTATTATTGATAAAATTTCATCCTTTTATAAGAATTCCTAGGTTATTATTTTAGAAGTTTAAATTTATTTATCTGACAGTTTGTTTGTAATCCAAAAGTCTTACATTTTAAAAAGGCAAACCAATAGCGGTTTTATAGCTTTTGATTACCCTAAAAAACTTAAGAGGCTTTGAACACTGAATTATCTTAACCCACAGTCTAAATGCTCTACTTTGGTTAAAGAAAAGAGGCTTCAATAATCGTTAAATTATATTATTTTAATAAAACGGTAGAATCATTTTCTCAACCCACAGCCAAAACAAAAACTCATTTAAATGTTCTAATTTGATTAAAGAAAAAACACCTCAACAATCATTATATTATGTCATTACTCTATTATATTTTTTTTAACTCACAGCCCAGACTCATTAAAACATTCTAATTCGGTTAAAGAAAAAAGGCTTCAACAGTTATTACATTACGTTATTCTATCAAATGGATTGAGGCTTTCATTCAAATAATGGTTTTATTCTCGATTTTATCAGAAGAAAATGCAACCACCAAATATTATATTTTTCTTTTCTTCTTCGGCTTAATTATTTTACGCATACTAGTTTTTCAGATGTTTGGAGGTTTGCGTTCATTTATTGAGGCTATTCATTATAATGATTCGGCTAACAAGCCACTTGTAACCGAATAACCATAGCCTTGATCACAGTGGCATCTCTAATCTTCTATCTATATAAATTATAGTGTAGTTATCTCTTAACAAGTGATATTGCTATCATAATTAGATTTGAAACTGGGTTTATTTGTCACATAATAAAATTGAATAAAAACGGTTTTAATATATGAAACTCTAGTCACATGATGAATCAATCAAAGAAATCACATATTTACAAGTAAGATTATACAAGATTCAATCAACCCAAAGACTTTAACAAGATAATTTTTGTCAATAAACCATGGTGTAAAGATATCGACAGAATGATTACTGTATCAATCCAATTGTATACAATCATAATTACCGAACCGTGATTACATATATATAGCATAGCGATAGGTCATTAGATCGAACTTTAAGAGTTTACTGCATTCAGAGAATTTAGCACATTCGGTCGATTTAATGCATTTGGTCTATTTGGTGCATTTGGTTGATTTAGAGCATTTGGTTGATTTAGCGCATTTAGTTAATTTAGAGAATTCAGGGGATATATTAATCATGCACAAATTAATACAGTCAGACCTCCCTAAATGCACCCTCCCTAAATAACACTATATAAAAGGTCTCTCTAAATACATGTCTCTGATTGGTCCCAAGTAATATAACAATTAAAGATTTTAATCTTTCTAAATGCATGCCCTCTCTAAGTACATATTTTTGAAATTTTTTACTATAGTCCCGAGGGTATGCATTTAGAGAAGTCTGACTGTAATATGAAAGTATAAAACACACCAATCAACAATCCAAATAATAAGCCAACACTATCATGTGATTTGATCTGTTAATCTTTCTGATGGAAATTAGCGACCAAATCCTGTGAATCCTTATTAAGAAGCTATGACTCAGACTAAGGATGCTTTTAAGCATCTAAATCAACAGATCAGTGCTCAATTTTTGATTAGTGAAATATAATTTGGACAGCCAAGTAAGCTTGTCATTGTAATTAAAAAAATGGTGGTCTAGACCATCTTTTTTTTATCATAAACTTGTATTTATCAGCTAAAATTTAAAATTCTCATTTCGTACCATGAACCTTTAGCAAAATTACCGCAAGAATGATCTCAATTAATTATGGTGCTTGTGCATGATTTCGTTTACTAGCTGATTATATTGAGGGAGGTGCTTGAAAGCATCCTAGGTCTTTTTATGTCTTGATCGAAGCCTTATCATCATTAGAATTAAGTTTAATATAATATCAACCAATAAATACCAGTTATTAAAACCCAATACAGGTTATCCTCGTTAATATCAACCTATTTGAATTGGTTTTAAATCATGTTGATAGTGATATTAACAAGAAATCATATTAAAGTTGACATATATGAGGAAACTTTGATATATAAAAATTTATAAAAATTAGTTTTGTGGCTTAGGTTGATATTAACGAGGTTGATATTAACGGGGGTAACCTGTATTAATTTTTATTATCAAAATCGTAAACCCACCCAGAGTTAAATTAAGAAACAGATTACTTCTGAAAAAACATACACTATCGAATGATTTTGAATTATTGACATAACTATAGCATTAAATCATAAAACCATCTATCTTGAAACTAATAACATATCTACCAATCCAGTCTTGAACAAAATGTTTCTATATATTGTAATAAATTAATTTTATAATCTTACCCTTTTTGTGTAATTGATTATCTAACTAGATTAGTATCACGATTGTTAAATCTCTCGAAGAAAGTAGTGTATGCATATTGATATGAGGCTAATATAATAGTGTGATGCCTCTAATGTCATAAAGTAGGTTCCAGAATATTAATCTAAATGTATAAAAGTAAAACCTTTATTCTAATAAACAGGAGAAGCTCATTTATAATAAAGTAACCCGGACATAATAATATTCTCTCCTTAATTTTGCACCATCATTAAGTTGCCTTAATAGAATTACTATGCCCTATAGAAGTCTTTTATTATTCAATCCACATAACTTCTAGTAGCAGTTAGAGCTACACT